CTGCTAATGCGCGAGTTGAGAGAGAACTGGGGGCGCGTTTGTATTATGACAGGCTGATGGAAGTGGTGCTGGAGGTGGAGCTGGAGTAGAGTTTGGCTGGAGCTGAAACTGGCTGACAGACGATGGCGCGTCATGCGCGGGCTGCCGGGCTGCCTGGCTGCCGTCTGAACAACTTGTTGGCTACATTTCATTTTGATAACTTGTCAAAATAATCTGTCGTCTGCAGGGCTGGCGGGGCGTATGATAAATGCGGCCAGACGCCGAGCAAGCCACTGAGTAAGTGTTGAATGTTATACCACTTTATTATTGCCATTAAATGCGGCACACTCATGGCTGTCTCTACACACACACACACACACACACACACACACTTACACACAGAGAGAGACACACACCTTGAATTTGGTGAATTCACTGCAAGGCTGTCTTTATGGCTCTGCTGGGGCAGCATGGCTCGGGGTCGCATAAACTTGTCGAGCATTGTCATAAAACTCAACCCCTGCCGCAACCCCTGCCCCTGCCCCTGCCCGATATTGAACATTGAATATGGAAACACTTCTGGGACGCTCGAGTAATATCGTGCAAGTCCCTGGCGTGATTCGAGCAAAAATATTTTTCGCTCTGCAATAATTTAGCACTTACTGGACAACAAATGCCCTGCAGATCCGGTACAGTTCAATCTAAGCCCTGCCCCCGCCCGGCTTGACTTTGACCTTTATTGATGCCAGTTGGTTTTATGTGCTCGGCTGATTGGAATATAATATCGAAACTGTGTGTACGGCCATCGACTTTCAGCTCACTCAACTTCAAGTTCAGTCTCAGCTTCAGTTAATAAAGTCTTCTGTGGACTTCTTGGCAGGACATGGCTTAATTTGTTAAACGTTATCGCTTCCGCTTTCAGCCAACTGCCGCCGCAGTGCGGCCAAGCAAACTGCAAGCCAATGCAAGCCGAGACTCTAGCAGCCAACTTGTTTAGCTCGAGAGCTTGAGAAGGAGGAAGGGGCGAGCGGAGGGCACAGGCAAGACCTGGCTTGGCTTACCTTGGCTGGCTCTGTGCAGAAGATGTTGCAGTCACGTGCATTGTGCAATAAGCCAAACTTATTTCGCATGCCATGCGATCAGTTGCCTTATCGACGCGACGTTTCCATGGCCTTGCCACAACTGAGAGGGGATCTAGTGCATCATTGTGTAATTTCCAATGCCTGCCATGAGTTATATATATACAAATTTTGAATTCGATATAAGAATTGGTATTTCTTGCAACAAGAGTGAAATCTAGTAATATTTTCAATTCCCACTTGTCAAAGATGAGAAGAATATTATGGAGAGAATGAATGTAAATATTTAATTATTCGTTGAAATATCCTTGCTCATCTTTATAAAATGTCGAGCGGCTGCTACGAATTATATATCTTATGGAATTCAATACAAGAATAAAATAACAGTACTTTATTGTGGAATTCATTAAAGATAAATAAAGAACTATGTTGTAGGGGAGTTAAAGCTCAAACTTGTAGGATATTGAGATTATAATATATTTTGCTCTTCATCTGTGCGTCAAAATAATTTAAGAAAATATTAAGTTAAATTAAGTATATGTCGAGCATCTTCCATTAGTTACTTTTGTATGTTTATATTAATTATTATATTAAATAAATATCAATAAGAAATTTGTACATAATAATATAATACAGATACACATACTTACATAAATGTATATACATATCTCTTTTATTATATTGTATTATTCATTACATTATTCTAATCCGAGCCTTGAACTGAACTTCTTATAATGTGTGTTCGTAGTAGTTCGTAGTACATTTAGATATGCAGTTAAAGAGCAAGATATATGTATATTTAAGATACACAAAGTATTTATAAATATAGTTGGCTAACGGAATATTTCAATTATAGCAATATTTCATTTAAGATTCCAAAAACTACAACGCGAATAATACATTTTTTTAGACCACTTGTGCCGCCTGCCTTTGAGGCTGGACTTAGGCAAAGGCGAAAGCGAATGCGAACGCGATGATCATATGTAGATATATAGAAAGACTGCCGCTCAGCTCTCAATCCGGCTAGGTGTTGTCTAGATCGTGGCCACGCATGCGGCAACTGCAGAAGCCGAGTGGATGCTGCTGAAGTTGTAGGAGCACGCCGCACTGCATCGCAGCGCGCCGACAACGTCAAGGTTGTCAGCGACACTAGCTCTAGAGATTAAAGATTCCACCATAAACAAACAAGCGAAATAATTGAGGCAAAATTGAAGCAAACTGCTCGAACTCTCGCAGCGGCTACTGCAACAACTTGGCGATCTTGGAATACGGATATGGCCATGGCAATGGGCAATGGATGCTGGGCACTGGGAGCTGGTGCTGGTTGAGGCTGCAGCAAACCAGTTGCCGGTGCAACAATTAGCACGGAATTTGTGGGTGCCATTAAACGCGCAACACGATGGCCGCATGTTGCGTTTGCTCCCATTTCCATTTTTATTTACCATTTCGATGGCCATTGCCAACGGTGGGCGATAAAACCGCAGAGTCTATGGATTGGCTGGCTTCCACATGCTAACGGCTCGAAGTACTCCCAAATTGTGGGTCTTAGCGCCAGCTAGCGGAGTACTCGTACTCACACTCAATTAGGCACACTTCAAAGCTGCCTCCCGGCAGGCGAGCCGGCCCGGGATTTTTATTTATGTGGCCGTCGTCTCTCATAATCTCGCATATGCAGACGAAAATTTAATTGCTCGTTGAGATCAAACAAATTGCATGCAACATAAATATGAATCGTACATAGAGCACGACGTCGGGCCACTTGGCCACGAGGCTCATTCGCGAAACTGGGCAAACGAACAGCGAATTATTAGGTTATGAAATCGAGAGTCTAGCAGAACTATACGGTCTATTGTACATGCTCGCCCTCTCTCCACTCACTCTCTTTGCAAAATCATGATCTTGAAATCCCCGCCTGCATGCACTCCAGACATGTCACAATTTCTCATCGCTCATTTCGATGCAGGAGGCAACTCCGGCATTCGCTAGCCCCGTCCCCTGCCATTCAGTTGCGATTTAATAGTTTGCATTTGGCACATTATGGTCTGGGGGACTGATAATAGCTCTCTGCCAACTCGGCATTGCCCTTGCGCACAGTCCCCTCTATCTGCTGGCCTGGCACTTTACGGCCCGGCCTGGTAACAGTGTCCGTGCAAAAGGCGCATATGAAATATGTGCGTCCGTGAAATGACTAAAATTTCTTTGGAAAAGCGCAACATTGTGGAAAATGGGAAATTACAAACGGCATGCGAAATGCCGCATACTGCCAGAGGTGTTTATAATAGTCGAAACAATATTTCGCATGCTACAGCACTATAAACAGAACAACTGCACCTCGAGCAGACAGCTCGCTTCATAACTCAACTGAATTAGCGACTATTTGAATGTCCCTAGAGACAAATTGAGAGTTGATAGAGAGCAGTTCCAGGGCGTGGCGTGAATGTAAAATGTGTGTTGGATTTACTTAGATTCGACTGCCAATCTATCTGCCTCTCTGTGTGAGAAACCTAGTTACTTGTTCTGTTTAAATGAATATAATCTAATGTCATCTAGTTTATTTCATTTAGTTCATTATTCCAACTCATTCATATCATAACGATATGCAAACCGATATGCAACCTAGGATTAATTTATAAACTACAATATAAAAGTGTGTGAGTTATTAATGCCTTCAGATAATTGCCACAAACATAAACCTACTTTTTTCATAGCCGAGTCTAGGTCTTGGATATGTAAATGTTTACAAATTACAACACGAAATTTATGCCATATATAATATTAAATTTAATTAAGAACACATATATTTACATATATAGAACTCAGTTTGATCAATAAAACATTTCTTAAACGTATAAACATAGAGCCGGAATAAAGTCTTAACTACATAGATTATTTACTGTTTGACAAAACGTCATTGAGAACGCGATTGCCTATATAATTTAAAATAATATAATATAACTTGAAACATTATACGATACATGTTATTAATAATCTGTGAACATTTATATGACTCAGTGGAGATTATAGTGCTTCCTAGTGAATAAAAAAAAAATAAACAAATATTAAACATTCTCTTTTCGATTTTTATGTTTCTTTTATTTTGTTTATTTTATTAGCTTTTATTTTGTCCTTATTTACTTATTTTTTAAGGGATTTAAAATGTAATAAAATTCAAAATATATAAAAATTAAATTAGAGAGGGTGAAACAGAGAAAATTACAAATGAAATAAATGAACAGGAAATTTTTATCATGCTTTATATATGTACAATATATTATTATATTTATACAAGAAATCCAAAAAATAAAAGAGCAAGTTTATATGCTGGCAATGGTATATGCAAGCCGTTCACTTCCTACTGGCGCGCTCCTAACCTGTTGTAGGGCTGGCATAATTTTATATAGTTGGGTACAGAGAAACATTTTCAGTTATTTATAAGTGCTTTTAGTTTTGTCACCCTCGCAATATTTATGGCACTTGCTCAGTTGTCATATTCAAAAACAAAAGGCGAATTATAATTGGCAGCGGCATTAACTTGTTGCGGTCTAGAAATTATAATTTGTTACAGAAGACGACGGACTGAGGCACTGGGCAAAGAGTGACAAAAATTTAATTAACAAGATGCGAGGCGTCTATTTATTAGACATGAAATAATAATTCAAACATGTTTTCAACAGCTCTAAAAATATAATTAAAATTAAATAAAATACTAAATTGTCTTGAGTGGAATATAATAGATATTTTAATATTTGAGGTATCTAAGGGAACTTACCTTGCATATATACATATGCATATGTACATATCTCCAAATAATATACATATGATCAAACGGAAGTCCCCAGTAGATAGTGTTTAACTTTAAGTTGGTTTTATACAAACTCTATACGTCCAAAAAATAAATAAATATTTATATACATCATTTCCATTGCTCAATAAAAAACGTCGTTTGAATTTTGCAATTTGCACGCACGATTTTATTTTTGATCATTCGATTTTCGATTTCGCTTTTTATATGCAACTACCACAGTTTACATTACGTGTATCTACTTTTTTTTATTATTATATTTTGCATTGTGTGTGTAACCATAAAATTAGTTAATTGTGTCTGTGTCTGTGTATAAGTGTGTGTGTGTGTGTGTTGAATCTGATTTGTTTTTGCTCACGTTTTGCAGTTTATACAACTTATTGCTATACTTAATGCATTTAAATGCCTCAAAATCGCCATCAATTACTCGTACTTTAGTTTAAATACATATGTATATATGTGTGTGTATGTATGTATATATATATAGACACAGAGGATATATTCGTATATATATATGTGTGCTAGATCAAGCTTAGCGTAGTGTTATGCTCAAGATATGTACTCCACAAAAACCATGTGTATTCCCAACGGCTGTCAAACTAAATATATTACAGCTACTTCTCGCCGCCCAGCGAGCCCAACTCGTCAGCCCCCATCGAGAGGCCAGCCGCTTCCTGGTCAGCATCCGCATCTGCGTTACCGTTGTCCTCCTGCTCCAGCTCGCTCTGATTGCCAATATTCTCGTTTTGATTGTTTTCCACCTTGATGTTATTCAGCGGATGCCAAATGTTGTTGCTTAGGGCTCCGTCGTCTTCCCGGGAGGCAGGACTCTGCGCCGGCTCCGATGTAGGTGACTTGCTGCTACTCCTCTCCGCAGCATGCGGGTACTGGTGATGGACGCCAGCCCCGCCCAAGAAGTTGGGGAAGCCCAGCAGGCCAGGCGGATACGGGTACTTAGCTCCGTTAGCAAAGTGCGGCGGCGGTATGTTGGCGAACGCACCTGGACTCAGTTCACCCGGCTGATAGAAAGGGATTAGATTGGAGAGATTTGGAAATGGAATGGACCTCCCTTTAGTTGCAACTAAATGTATATATCTTCACACTTCTTGAGAGTTTACTAACTTACATATAGATAATAGAGTTTATTGTCTCCGGAGAGCTTACCTTGGGTGGAATCCCATTGAAGAATGGTGGCAAATAGGGGAAGAAGAGCTCCGGGCGACGTTGCATGAACTCCTGCTCGGCAGAGGGCGCGCCGTGTGCCGAGCCGGGGCCAGGTCCTGGACGCATGGGCAGCTCCAAGGACATGCGCCGGCCCCGACGAGACGTCGGATTCGTCCACATGTGCGTGCCCATATGAACCTACAGAAAACAAAGGAGTAGGCAAACAGGCAAAAAATATGTGAGCTTGAGAGATTCAGCGAGAGCAGCCCCAACTATAATGCACCTTCAGGTTGCCCTTGGTGGTGAAGGCCTTCTGGCAGACGTTGCACTGGAAGGGCTTGTCCCCGGTGTGGGTTCGCATGTGAATCTGCAGAGCGGAGCTAGAGCTGAAGTTGCGCCGGCAGACGTGGCAGAAGTGCTTGTTGTTCACCGGCGGATCGAGACTGGAGCTGGGTGGCCCGGCCGACATCAGGGCCTGCTGAAAGTCCAGCGGACTAGCCGGGAAACGATGGGCGTCTGCGAATGTGATCGGCGACAATTGAATCGAAATGTGGGCGAGCGGGCACAGGGGATATCAGACTTACGCAACTGCATCTTCATCAGCGACTGCTCCGCATCGCCGGCCGTCTCCTGCTGATAGCCGGTGGCCGCGGCAGCCGCTGCACCACTGTCGCAGCCACCCTCGTCGACCGGCGGCTGGTCGGAGTCGGGCTCCTCTTTAATGGATGCCGCCGATGGCGTCACGGGCTCCGCTGGCGCCGGCTCCTGCGGCTGCTTCGGCTTCTTGGCAAATAGATTTGGATTGAGAGTGAGCTGAAATACACATTGAGCGAAGACGTTCGGACTGTGAATTAGGGGCGCTAATTTCTTCGCATTTGCCGTTTAATGTGCCGTTCAGATCCCGCTTCGGGAAGTTCGGGCCAGACGCGATTCTTAATTATCTTATTTCGAGCAGAAGCCACCGAAAAGCAAAGCATAATTCACAATTATTCTATGCCGGCGCACGGGCCCAATAATGCCAACTAATTATCTCGCACAGACAGAAGCCGCCGGGTCTCATATTTTTATGGCAAAACAATTGTTTGCCGTGGACTCTCGCTCTGGTTGTTGTTCTTGTCGCCGTTGGCTGCCTCCTGGCGGCCGACACCCCAGCGCAGCCCCAGCTGCCCCACACAGATGCCGCTGATGCCGCGACAAACAAAAGATTAAATAATTTTGCATAAAGCGTAACATAATTTATTTGCATTGAATGCATCGCACACACCGCCACCGATCCGGCACACAGAACGTTCCGTCCCGCCACGCCCCTACTCGCTCGCCCAGCCTCGCCTCGCCCATCCCGATTCCCACTCCCATTGGCCGGGCGCTGTGGCACGCGAGGCGCGCGCTGACATTCGTGCGGAGGGGAGCTGGCAGTTGTCTGGGACCAGACCAACTCGTAAATTTCGCATCATCATAATGCATTCTCGTAATTACTTACAATTTTTGAATCATTTAAAAATTTCCAAGACCAGCGAACAGCAGCAACAGATAATGCTCAACTCTGTCTCGTATCTCGTGTCTCTTGTCTCGTGTCTCGCGTCTCGTGTCTGTCGTAGATCATCAACAATGTGTTAAGCGACCAAAACGGAGCACGGAGTGCATAGAGCACACTAGGGACCGCAGTCTGGCTGCTGGGCCTAACAGGGCTGATTACTACTCGAAAATGTTATGACATTTACACCGCATTCGCATTTGAGCCAAAATATCGCAAGCGACAGGAGCGCAGCGAGGTGACAAAGGGGCCCAAAAGGCAAAAGTGTTTCAAGAGTGGGGAACAAATAGAAGAGAGATTGAACACTTCTCTTGTCATCATATTTAAACTACTTTTCTGTTTACAAATACGTATGTAAAATTTTACTATGACTGAACCTTAGAAACCAAGAATTTAATTCAAGTCTAAAAGAAAAAATATCTACATTGATACAAATTCTAAGTCTAGAATGTCGTCATGTTCAAATATTCGCTCACAGCTATGAAGTTTTTCCAAGAATATAAATATGGAGTACGTTAGAAATATCTCATTTAGGAATAGATTGGTTCATTCTCTTTTATTCTTTATATGTAAAAATTCCAATTATTATCAAGCTTTAGATACGTTGCCGTAGTCACATATTAACTAACAATTTTGGAGTGAGTCCAAGCATTTAGGACTAGAGTACGTGAGAAATAGATATTTTGAAAAGATGTTAACTCTTTCTCTTATAATCAGATTGAGTTTGAGCTACTTTAACTTTTATATAAAATAATCAATTCAATCTTAATTTACATTTGTCACTTTGTCACTCTCTTCTTCAGATAGAATTTAAGCTACCATCACTTTCAATTTAATTAATATTAAATCTTAGATCCGTCACCGTATTCAAATATTCGCTCACAATTTTGGAGTAACTCCAAGAATTTAAAATATAATGAACGATGTCATTAGTCATATAGACAATGCCAGCAGCCAGAACCGCAGCCACACGAAAATGTGAACAAAACATTCTTAAATATTAATTTCGTGCATTTGTGTTTAAGTTATGGCCAGACACATGGCATAGACATAACGCACACACACACACACGCGCAGTCAGACCTTACTTGACACACTACTCGACTCACTAGCACCCTCTCTGCTCTCTCCACTCTGTCGTTGTAGCATTTCTACTGGCTTAGAAGGCGAACGCACTTTAATAAATAATTGGCATTGTTGTGTGGTGTAATCCCAGCGCTTAAAGTCATGCTCGATGCGAGTTTGGATGCTTTTGCTGCTTTAGATCTGCGACCGCCGCCGAGCGGAACGCCAACAATTAAGGCAAACTATGGCAGCGCGGCCACAATTTCTTCATAATAATGCCAAAGTGGCGAAGAGCGAGCGAGATGAGCAATTAATAATAAGCTCATAATTTGTATGGTCCTGCCTAAACGGGCGCAAGCCCAGTTTCCCAGTTTCCGCACTTTCTGCCCATATTCGGGCCTGCCTTGGCCATAACAATTCCATTAATGATGCCAAGACCGGGCCTCAGGTATTTCGCATTAAACAACTTGTGCGCGCACAGCTGGCATTAGTTCTCATCATTAGATGAACTGGCCTCAGACCAACGTATTTCAGATAAGTAGAACTGATCGAGTGGAAAGAGCTCGACTGGGAAATACCCTAAAGAGAACCGTTTGCATATTAAAATACGGCAAAGCGAATCTTCGTAACTTTTTCATTCTATTCAATTCTTTGAATCATAAAGTGTAAACTGAAGTAATTAGAAAAGATGACAAGAAAATATTTCAGCGACTCCATTTGGAGCGGGTGTGGTAGAGCCAAACTCTTATCATTTTTCTCATTTTGCAATGAATTGATCTGGAGTAATTGCGTGATTAAAGCGCTTTTAAATGTCCTGAACACCTCTGTGGAAAGCGTAGCTTTCGACTCAAGTTGTCAGACAGTTCGGATGCGGTAGAGGTCTACCACTGCTCTATATAAGGTATTTATTTAATTGTCTATTTCTTGAAAGAGCATACAGATTTGAAGTATTTTAACTAAAATACACAATGACGAATATTTGCTCACTTTGCAGTAACTTGATCAAACAAATGATGAGATTCAAGTGCTCACAGATCGCCAGATTGACGAATGAACGGTTGCTAATCGAGTCTGCTTTTTGTCAAAAATATATATTATATACTTTAAGGGACTGGCCCCACCTATTTCAAATATATTTCATTTTATATAATAATGCAGGTCGTTACATTAAAACATATAGGATATAACAGCTCTTCATATTTCTGTACATCGGTAGTTCAGATGGCTTGTATGCCTATGTTGAGCATAACGGAAGCGCACTTACCTTGGCTCCGTAGGGCGTGGCAGTCTCGTTGCAATGGGCTCGGCCGGAAGGAGCCGTCATTTCTTTGGCATGTTCGCTCTGTAGATGGCTCTCCAAGGCGGCCAGGCTTGGCAGCATCTTGAAGCACAAGTTGCACACATTTGGGGGCGGCTGCAGGCCTAAAGATAGACAGGCAAGGAAACAACAAATTACTCAGAAAGCCCGTCATGTGATACGACATAACTTTGGACGCGTGCTGCTGCTGCCGCTGCTGCTGGGCGACGGAACCGAAAATTCGATATAATAAATTTCAATCAGTTTAAAAATGTTGTGACATAATGACGGCGCGATCATGAAGCGTCGCGTAATTCATTGAGAGTGCCTCCCTCCCTGCCGCCGCCGTCGCCGATCACGATGGATTGGTATTGAAAATGTGCGAAAAGTTTATAAATAAATTTTGGAATTTGGCATAGGCAGACGTGGCATATAACAGCGGAATGGAATGGAATGGGGCTGTGGATGTGGATATGGCTGTGCCTCTGTCTCTGACTGTAGCTGTAAATGCTTTGTCTTGGTCCAATTGAGTTATGTCGCGGCAAGAACGCGAGATTTATCGCACAGCCAGTGCCGCATGGCAAACAGCGTTCGGGTCAAAGGTGACAGACAAAGAGGCTTTGTCATCTCGCAACGGGCTGCCGACAGAGGCAGCCGAGGACTGCGTACTCACCCATTAATCCGAGCGGTCCGAAGGGCAGCAGTGGAAACTTGGCATGCGTCTGGCCTAGTGCGTGCATCTCCTCGCGCGCCGCTGCCATCAGCAGCAGATTCGGCGGCATGGGCATGCCCAGCATCGGTAAAGCTCCAGTTCCACCAGCTGCTGCTGCTGCTGCTGCTGAATTGTTGCCGACTCCAAAGAGGCGCGCCGCAGCCGCTGCTGCCGCTGCCGCCGCAGCTGAGGCTGATGCAGAGGCGGAGGCCGAGGCTGATGACGGAGAGGGCGACGAGAGATCCATTGCGGGCATCTCGCCGCTGTTGCTTTCACGCCCACCGCCATCCAGATCCGATCTGGAGCGCTCGTCGTCGTGGCCCGGCCGTCTGTCTCTGTCAAGCAGTGTCGCCGTGGCCGCGCTTGAGTTGTCTCGGGAGTCGTCAGTGCTGTCCATGGTCATGAACTCGTCGAAGTCGCCTCCCTGCGACGACTCCGATCGCTGGCCGGAGTGATCCGAGATGGTGGTCGAGAAGTCCAGGGTGTCCGAGGTGCACATCGACTTGTTGGAGTTCTGATCCTCGATGCCCAGGCGTTCGGCCTCGCCTGCGCCCAGACCCTGGCCCTGGCCATGCACCTGACTGCCGCTGCCATCGTCCATGGTGTGGATGCGAATGTGCTGCTGCAGGATGATGCCGTTGGAGAACTTCTGGTGGCACACGGGGCACTTGAACTGGCTGCGCATGGGCGGCTTGATCTTGTGGATACTCATGTGCGCCTTCAGGTTGCCCTTGGTGGCAAACGCACGTCCGCAGATCTTGCAGCGGAAGGGTCGCTCGCCCGTGTGGGTGCGTATGTGCATCTGCAGGGAGCTGCGACAGGACATGACCTTCTGGCAGAAGATGCACTGATTCGGGTCGGTCAGCTTGTTCTCAATGTTGTCCACCAGCTGCTGCAGCTTCGATGTCTCCGATGTCTTGTCGATCTCGATTAGATCCTCCCACGACTTGTCTATGATGCGCTCCATCTGAGCGAGCGAGTACTCGCCTGGCAACGCAATAGCTCCGTCGCGGCTTGCCGAGGAGCGACGTACGAGCTTCACCAACTGCATGTGCTCGGCCTGCTCCCGGTCCTCGCCCGGCGGGCTACCCCCATTGCTAGACTGGCGCTTGCGCACGCTTCCGTTGCGACGACTTGCCGCTGCAGTGGGCGGTGTCGTCGACTTGGGACTCTCCTTCGACTTGTCCTTTTCCTTGCTCTCGGGCGGAGCACCATCCGTGCCACTCAGACTTCGACTGCGCTCGGGCAGGGACTTGGGGGTCGGCGCGGGCTGCATGGGCGAATGCGACAGCTCCCTGGTCGGCTTGCTCAGATCCTCGGCTTGCTGAAGCTGTTGTCCCGGCATTGACAATGCCTGCAGCTCGTGCTGCTGCTGCTCCAATGCCGCGTGCTCGCTGCTGATGGGCGGAGGGGGCGGTGCTAAAGGCGCTGGCGTGGCGAAGGGTAAGCGAATGGGTGCTAGAGAGACAAACTGCTCGGAGCCTGACGCCGAGGGCTGAGCCCCGTTGACCACAGGCGGCAGCAGCATGGGGGGAAAAATCTGCGTATGGCGCTGGTAGTGCACCTTCAGGTTGCCTTTGGTAGTGAACTTGCTGCCACAGACGTTGCAGTGGAAGGGTCGCTCGCCAGTGTGGGAGCGCAGGTGTATCTGCAGGGCCGAGTAGCTGCCAAAGATCTTGCCGCAGTACTTGCAGCGGTGCTTGAAGATCTCGCCGCGGCTCTGCGCCTCCTTGGAGGCGTACTCCGAATACTCCTCCTGCATTTGGGCCGCATGCAAGCTTTGCGAGGCCGAGTCCAGCACCTCTTCCGTGCGGCGCTGCAGCATTTCGAGGCAGTTGGGCTCGTTGGGAGCCGGCGGCGGGTCGTGATTGGTGATTATGCTCGATGCCAGACTGGAGCTGATGTCGCACATCAGCGGCTTATACTCATTCTCCAGCTCCTGGTCGACGTCGGCCTCAATCTCACGCTCCCGCTCAGCCTTGGCCATGGCTACATCGCGCTCTCTCTCTCGTTCTCGTTCAGTATTGCACTCATTGGATATTGCCTCCCTTTCCTTGCACATTTCCTGTTCCTCAGTCTTTGAACTCTCCTGCAGCCTTTCGGGATCGATGTCCGCTGCCTCGCCATTCACGCTCGTCGGCTCGTTGGAAGGATCTGGCTGGTCCGGGTCCGTCTGCTCCGGCTGCTCCTCCTCCTCTTCCTCGTCCTCGTCCGGCTCGGCATAGTTCGGACCTTGCCTGCTCAGCGCAGCGACCACGCCCCCCGCCCGCTTCAATTGACTCTGTAGATGCTGGATGAGCTGCAGCTGCATCAGATGCTGGCGCTGAACGTTGAAGATCGTCGACTGGACCATGGCCAGGTCGTTCGGATCGGACACTGATCCCGCCAGCGCAGTGGCCGCAAACTGTGCCACCGCCACTTTGGTATGTTGTAAAGCTTCTAGTGCCACATGCCCGCTCGTGGGCAAGCGGCTGCCTGGGATTACCGACAAGTCCAGCGCCTCGTTGCTGTTCTCCGGCTGCTCAGTGCCGGGCAGCGACTGGTCCGCTTCGAGCTGTCGCTCCATCTCAGCATCTGGCGTCTCGTCTGCTGCACTGCCATTGTTATTGCTGTCCGCACTCAGCTCCTTCGCCAGCAAACTGTCCCTGTCGGTCGTGGGGTCGGCGACCGACGAGCTGCCCGCACTGGATGAGCCACTGCGCGTGCCTGTGCTCCGGTAATTGATGCGATTGCGAAATATTGAACACATTCTCCCCTGGAACGGCCGATGCCGAGCGCTCCACTTCCTTTGATTCAATCTCGAGCTTGGACTCTGACTCGGACTCTGACTCTGACTCTGGCTGTAGCTGTGGCTGTGGCTGTGGCTGATATCGCTCAGATTGCTGTGGATGAAACGGCAAAGTTTTGGAATCAGATTGTGGGATTAATCAAATTTACGCACATATTCCTGGCAAATTATTTGCTATAACCGACGAGATGTCGATCTCGATGTCGATGCCGTCACGTAAGGAGGCTCCGACCCGGTCAGACTTTATGATAAATTTTTGAATATATGAATAGCGTCATGTCGCAACTTTAGGTGATGAATAAATGAACATATTGCATATTATTAGGGGCGTATAACTTAATTGTAACCCACCTAACCAGCACGCCGGCCCATACATACATCTATCTATCTATCTGCCTATCTATATCGAAGCAATGCTTTTTTTCTGCTTTTCCTTTTTTTCGGTGGACTTTCTGCGTGCGGGTCTTGGGATTCTGAATTATTGTAAACTGAAAGCCTCAACGCGATTTTGCGTTTTGCATGAGCCATTGGCTTGGGTAATTTATTGATATATTACTTGGAATCACTCAGCATAACTTTGTGTTGATCCCATTCGATTTATTCCGGCTATATCTAATTTTCTTTACGCCTAGTCAACCACGCACCCATATATATGTGCATCTATCCACATACACATATATATCTTATAATACGGAAATGCTAAAGGGCCCTTTTTTCTCACATTCAAATGGGCTGCAATGATTGTTGGATGAATATCGGTCAAACGCGTAATCGCACTCCTTGAACACCAACTATTTTCCGGACTATTACAGAGCAGTTTTCTCCAATATGCAGAGATTTGGAATGCAAAGCGTGCTTGGATTTTGATAATAATTTGAGAAGCAGCTTATGCAAGCTATCTCTGTCAGCCTCTCCTCTTCTCTCT